AAGCGTTGTTGAAAATTTCTTTTAGTAAATTTATAATGTTATATGATGTTTATATATATTTATCTATGTTATATATTCAAATCATTAATTTATGTAGTTAAAATATGATAATGTCTAATTTGGATGAAATATAACAAAAACATTCAATGCAAAATATTGCTTCAGGATTATATAAGGCTGTTTGGAAAACAATTACACTTTACCAGAAAGGAAAGGAATCAGATGAAAGTTAAAATTATTTAAATATTATTTATAAAAAGTAATCGCCTTCATTTTAAATGACTGCCAAGGAGGCTAATTTTCAATTCCATGTTTAAAGAAATCTGAGGTTTTCTTCGAAAAATTTTTGAAAGACTATTTTCATCTTTGTTTTTTAATATTTTGCCACTTATGAAATATTATAGTAATCGAAACAAATGATAATTTGTAGGTGACTAAATCTGGCGTCTATGGCGGATATGGAAGAACATCTCATTCTAAGGATCTTATTTTTTTTATTTGTCTTGCAGAGTGTGGCATTGAGTTTGCCATGCTGAAGAATAACACCTTTTCTGCTTATCAAAGCATGACACTTTCGACGTAAGGCTTTGTTTACACGATCAAGTTGCTGGTAATAAACATCTCCAGTGTAGGCCCGTCCATGCTCTACAAGGTCGTAATGGACGCCATCTTCCATATTCCTCGAGGCACAAAACAAAGACTTCTGTGGATGAAGTCTTGGCTTGGCTGTTGACAATGGTTTCTAATTTTGTGATAATCACTGTCTTCTGTTGACATGCAAAAACACATTTAATGTAATGATGCAATGCAAAAAATTAAAGGTTAGCATCTGTGGTTAGAAGATTGCCATAGATGATGGACATTGTATTCGGCTCCCAAATTAAAGTTCACGAGAATCCCAAATTCCCTGTTTGCAAGTTTTTCTAATTAAACGATTAAAATTCACTATAAATGACACATGGTTGCATTGAAGAGATGATAAAATCATTCTAGATGCAGTTTCTTACTATTCAATTTTGTTTCTGTCTTGTTTGGTTGATTCATAATTCAGAGAAGTGAAATACGTCATTAATTTCTGAGAAACCTAATAAAAACTGGAAGTTATGTTATTAAAAACATATATTTTGAGGGATTTATTCTGCGAGGGAAGTTGTCTTATAGATCTTGAACTTCCATATCATCCTATCGGCTGCTACTTTTTCCTACGGCGGTTGAACGAAATATATGAATAAAGTAGGGTTATGTCACCATGAAATTGTTATTTTTAATTCAGGGCAATTTTAATAACTTTGTTTCATGTGAAAAAAATTATTTATCAGTTTTAACGAAACATTGTATCTTCACACGAAATTTTGTATCCAACAATGCTTTCTGTGTGAATAAATCGCTGGTTCGTTGCCCTCAGCATCAAAAACAAGTCATCAACAGTGATAATGAAGTGAAGAAAATAAATAAGGAAAATTAGCAGCACCCTCCTAAATGAGTAGGAACAGAAGTAAAACGCACAGTCGGACGATGTAGTTACAATGAATATTCAGTATGTAAGTGGGACGACTGAACAGATCCAAAGGATTTGTAAACGGTTTACTTGACCGGGAGAGTGTTTAATCGAAACCGACTATTCTTATCTTTCTTTTTTTTTACGGGAGTTCATCTGTTATGAGAGAAAACTCTGACATTAAAAATGTATTTATAACATAGCCTGCTGATGTGACATAACTGCTATGACAGAACATATCTGGAGAGAAAAAAAGGGCATTTCATACTTTCTAGATAATTGACTGAAAGCCTTATTGGAATGAGAAAGCTGAAGGGAGTAGAATATAGCGGCCTGTCGAACGGATGCATAATTGATAGAGAGCATTGTAAGGAATGAGAAAGCTGAAGAAGGTAGTATATAACAAGCTGTCGACCATGGGCATGTTTGATTGTTGGAATAAGAAAGCTGAAGAAGGTAGTATATAACGAGCTGTCGACCATGGGCATATTTCATTGTTGGAATAAGAAAGCTGAAGAAGGTAGTATATAACGGCCTAAATTTCAGTCTTGCTGTCAGCAAACGGTTTGCATCCACGCACACATACGCAAATGTGCAAATACATGTACGTTTCAATAAACGCGCATATATATATGGGCATATTTGATTGTTGGAATAAGAAAGCTGAAGAAGGTAGTATATAACGGCCTGAATTTCAGTCGTGCTGTCAGCAAACGGTTTGCATCCACGCACACATACGCAAATGTGCAAATACATGTACGTTTCAATAAACACGCATAAACTATATATATATATATATATATATATATATATATATATATATATATATATATATATATATATATATATATGCGTGCAGGGGAAGTATATTAGTATTCGAAAAGTGGAAAAGCCATAAACGACGCGTTTCGCCGAAGAACGTATGCTGCGATCGGCTTCTTCAGGAAAAACAAAATTGTATATAAGAAAAATGCGTTGTGATTTCTGAGGATAAGAGGTTGTCATAAATCAATTTACCTTATCACATCCGATGACCATTCTGTCTTATTATCTTCATATATATGTGTGTGTGTGTAGGAGTGTGCGTATATATATATATATATATATATATATATAAATACTTCTACACATACAAGCACTCATGTATTTACAAATAGTCCATTTGGATAATGAACCATAGCATCAATGTGTCTCGGGCAAGATAGACTAACGGGGTCTATTCCTCTTCAAGCGTATCGAGAAAATTGTTCGAAAATAATTCTTAGAAAAACAATTATTCGAATTATAAATTGTTTGGATGAAAATTAATGGAAAGGAGACTTATACTAAATGATAATTATTCGAAACCCAAAATTCTTTATTGCAATAAAATGTAAAACTTAAAAGAGGAAATACATAGGATAATTATTATATGATAATTATTTGAAATACAAATATTGTTAATGAAACAATTTAGTAAGAAAAAAATTCCATTTTTATTGCAATAAAGAATTTTGCATTTCGAATAATTATTTTCATTTAAACACTTTACAATTCAAATAAATGTTTTTCAAATAATTTTTTCGAATAATCTTTTTCGAACAATGTTCGCATAATCTCTTCAAGCAGATTTACAATTCAGGGTTTTCTTTTTCTTACACTAGTGGTCACTTCAAGGCAAGAGAGCCCAATCTTCCCTGTTATTTAACCCATAGCTGTGTAAAGATGGCTTCATGCCTTTTCCAAGGGAATTAGTGAGAAGTGAATGAAACAGAATCGAGCAGGAATTGAACTCGGTATGACGAATATTCAGCGCCGATAGCCCTTACACAACCCATGACTCCAACACACACACACACACACACACACACACACACACACACACACACACACACACACAGAAGCACACACAAAGTAGCACACACTCAAGACTACACACTGTAAAGATTGAATTCATTATCTGTGTCTAAAGGTGAAATTCAATGTGAGACTCAGCATGGGACAAAACTAAAAAGCCCAATGTATTGAAAAAATCGGAACTGCTAGTCCCGTACAATATGTGAAATACTGGTTTGGTATAAAAATCAATGGCCATACGAAACCCTTCCCAACAATTGTGGTTTTCATATTGAATGTTCAATTAGTCCCCTGGCACCCTACTCTGAAATCAATGGACTTGTTTCCAAACAAAACAACCCTTTCAATGTATGTGCCAGTCACTATAAAGAAGCAATTTCTCCATTCATGAATGGAAAAATGGCATTGATGAATGGCGTAGATATATCTTAAAAGAGCTGATACTTGGCACTTTTACTACAAAAGACACGGTCCGAATATCTATCTATCTATCTATCTATCTCTCTCTCTCTCTCTCTATATATATATATATATATATATATATATATATATATATATATATATATATATATATATGTGTGTGTGGTGTGTGTGTATGTATTTGCGTGTGTATATTAGGGCCATATCTATCTATCTATACATACATACACACACACACACACATATATATATATATATATATATATATATATATAATGTATGACAAAGTGGAGAATGTTTTGTGTGAATCGTTTCTACTTTGTCATAAATTTTTCCTCTAAAACTGTTCTAGATATATATCTTTAGCCCATATATATATATATATATATATATATATATATATATATATATATATATATATATATATATGAAATGTGAACAAATCGAATCAAATTCCGACGTTCGTAACATTCAATTATATATATGTACAGAAGCGAATGTAATGAACTTGACAGGAATTCGAACTCAGCTCTCCTAATTCATCCAAACGTTTATCCATTACACCACAGGCACATACACTATATATATATATATATATATATATATATATATATATATATATATATATATATATATATATATATATATATATATATATATATATATATATGTGTGCGTTTCCTTATAAGAAAACATTCGTTATTTATTGACCGAGTAGCCAGTACTGCTGTTGGTTGAACTTTATAAAATCTTTCTCTTAAAACAGTAACTGTTATCGCTATTTCCAGTATTGATGGCGGTTTCCTTCCTAATCTTTTCTGTGAAGTAGCGTGGAACGTCAATATATTGATAATGCTATTATTTTCTCTTCGAGTTATATGTGATATCCTTGTTGCTACTGATGATAGTCCTCAAGTGATGTGGTTTCTGTTATTTGGTATAGTTCTTTGTGATTTTGTCACAATGTTAAAAAAGGATGGTCTTCGCCAAGACACATAGGCTTCACTTGTTCAAAGTAGTTGTATACGACTGACAGTTAAGATGTTTCTGTACATATTTGGCGACATGCATGTCATCCAAATGAAAAAATGTCATCTAAGAACATGACTCAAGTTATCGGGTTAATGTTTTGATTTTATAGCATTTTGCAGTGTGCTTTTTCGTAGATTATTGATATTATATATTTTATACAATGATAAACAATTTCGATTCTTGATAATTTTCTCACATCTATTTATACTTCCAGGTCTTTTCGTCCGGCCATACATAACGAAGAATGAATCTGAACTGAAGATACATCAAAGTATCGACTCCCTGATAAAGAGCGGAACGAAAGGTTTCTTCACTTTGACATCAATTCGCGGAATATTACAAAGGGCATCGCACAGCGGAAGCAAGTATTACAATAGTCATGTGAAGACTAGCTACCCGAGTGGAAGTCTCTTCTTGATTGAAGATATACAGAACTGGTCTGAGAAATTTAAACCTATTCACTACACGCACTACGCATTACAATCGACACGCAGTCGGCCATCGTCTGCTGCTAGGAAACCAATTGTTTCCCAGACTTCTAGAATTAGTACAATAAACAGTGATTTAGAAGACGACCAATCAAGCTACGTTGTAGCTTCGGGGGCGCCTACGTCAACTATACCAACACATCTTCCTGTTCCGGTCAGAAAAGGTGTTAGTGTTAAGGAAAATGAAGACGTTGTATGGATTAAAATGGCTGAAGATGATGACGTGTTTCTTCTAGACAAACCGCCACAACTGGGTGTACTTCATCACAAACCAAGAAGTAGATCCTCCTCTAGTGAGTCCAACTACAATTCGATGAATAGTACTTTTGTTAAATGTAAAGATTCTTTTGGCAAATATGTATATTTCTCACTGTCTACAGCAGGACAATTTATCCAAGTGTATACTCACCCCAAAAATCCACAAAAACTTTCACAAACTATACACGAGTTGATTAATAGCGATACTTTACCTTCTATCATTAGATTTGTTTATGGTAAAAAAATACGTTTGCTTACGGCTTCCGGATTCTTGAAGCCAAAACGTACTGAAACCCACCACTCAGTCCTCGCTTGTTCTTTAGGTAAATCATCTTTCGTATTCTTTGAAGTGCCAATGACGTCACCAATGAAATTCTATTTATCCCTTAATAAAGGAATGCTCAGCACGTCACGAATTCGAAGCGCTTTGCGTCTCTGTGAAAATAAAGGCAATGAATTTGTCACCGATATGAAAGTTATTATCAATCTCTCGTCTGGGCCTCCAAAAAAAGAAAGCAAAATTAGTGTCTCGGAATCTTCCAGTAAACTTGAAGACATTGCTGAAGAAATACCAGAAGCGGAAGAGGTGGAAAGTAATAACAGCGACAAAGAAATATCGCAACTTACCAAGGATTACGCTAAACTATCGCTCGAGGGCATAATATATATTTAATACAAAGCTGTATTTCTAACATAGTTTTATGCAGACAAACGAATATATTAAATTTGAACCTTCTAAAATAATATATTTAAACAGGTTCTTCAGCAGACTGACATAGAAGAAAGCAGAGAAAATCATCGCAAATTTTCGGTGATTCAATCAGACATTTTCTTTATAATACTTTGAATTGTTTTGTAAGTGTTAAGGAAGGTCAACTCAAGATATCGTGTCAGTGAAATGAAGAACTACAACCAATAAATAAACATTTACACTAGAAGCCAAGAGTTTTATGTCATCCTCTGGATTTCGAAGAATCGATTAAAAATTGAAAGTTACGTGCCCTTTTCAAAAATAATTTACAAGCTCACTTTGGGCCCAAGGGAATTTCTCTTCTTGAAGAGTTTTATCATATATTTAATAATAATAATAATAATAATAATAATAAATCGGACGTCATGCACAAATAATATAAATTGTTTCAGCCTCCTAACTTAGTAGGATTTAATTAAACTAAAGAAGGTATGGAACTTAGTAATTATTAAATCCAGAGGGTGGATCCAAACTTTTGCCCTATAATATACATATTTTTATCGAAATCGTGTTAAATTAAGGATTTCTGGTTCCAAGACAGCAATTGTCAAAAGGAGGGGAGTGGGTATTAAAAATATCACTTAACGATTATAGAAAAAATTATATTGATATACTTCAAACGATTTCAATATCTGAGACAAGATGTTTTGTTTCTCTATTTCCGCCATTATGAACAATCACTGAGTATAGCGATTCATTAAGTCTCTCTCTGTCTTTCTCTGCCTGTCTGTCTGTTTGTCTCTCTCTCTCTCTCTCTATATATATATATATATATATATATATATATATATATATATATATATATATATATATATATATATAAGTCACTCTGAAAGTAATATCATATATTTTATTATATTGGCCAAAGATGTCAGAGGTGAATGTTATTGGTGTGCAGGCAACGATTGTACCTTTCTGCCATTAACACAATTTATTTTTTTTGCTTTTTAACAAATGGCAGTCTGTAAAAATAGCGTCTGACATGAAAGTTTGCACGAATCAAACGTATGCCATTGAATTCCACCATGTGTAAAAATGCTCTTATTGACATTGACATTGATCCTTTGCTGAACATTTACAGAGATCAAATAGTGGATGTGAGCACAGTCAGACAGTAGGTAATGCGTTTCGGCGCTGACGACAGCTCTATATGTGACAAGGGCGGACTGCATATCTGTCAGCCAACAAAATGGAGAGTTCCTCTAAATATCTAATGATGGTAGTTAAATGTGAAAATAGTGTTTTGTAATCTAAAACTTGATTTATCCAATGGTGTTATTTGTGTTACCTTTATCTCTTTGAGTTACACTGGGAATAAATAAGTGGAACAGTGTGTAAGGAGAAAGTCAAATGGTATTCATTTTAGCAAGCGTGATGTTTAGCATGCTGGCTTTGTAAGCTATATATAGTTAGTTCAATCTATATTATAAAATGCTGATTCTCTGTCCATCTGTGTGTGACTTTGCAAGTGTGTATGTCATGTGTGTTCGCATGTCTGCATTGTGCGTGAGTGATTTACATGTGCTTGTGCCACTTAATGTGGACACGCGCACACACATATACAAAATTTGACTGAGTCTGAAATAAGACATTCCCTCTTATTTAGTCTGGACAACCCAAACACTGAAGTGAACAATAAACTTATAAAGTTGGAGAAAAATTAATCCATTAAACCCTCCAAAAGTCAGATAATTATAAGATTTTATTGAACTTTTTCGAAATTATAAATAAATATTTTTTAAAGAACACTGTTTTTTCAATCATTTTTGATTTTTGTAGAAATATTAAGTCTATCATTGAATTAAAATATACATATACACACAAACGTATATACGCACACATTTTGAATTAAATTGAAATTTGCAACCGAGTTACGTAGGCTAATTTCCCTTTTATCTGGCAACAACCTTCGTGCAACAGGAAAATTGTATAAGCTGAAATTTGCGGCCATTTGAAGACATTTTTTTTTACTCATTCTGTATTTAAACTGAATATATATTTTAAATAAATTGAGTGATTTAAATAGAAAAATAATTTGGATTTAAAATTTAATCATCTTGTTGACAGCGAACTAACTGTTCCATAATTTTTTGAAAACTTCAACGAACGCATCTTACTGAAAAAAATATTAATGCTATTTTGTGGTTTGGTTATAAAGTGTCATGACCTCCTCTCTCTACTGATATATAAATGAGTCTGGTGAATTGTATTTATTCAGAGCTGGGTGATAAGTTAGACATTGTTTAGAGCTTGCAATGTTAGAGAAAAGAATGTCAATTTTCTTTGGATGAAGTTACAGTTTATATCAGCATAAAACGGCCTGAAAACTACAAACAGTCATGAAAAAATAATGTGCACCAAAAAACAAAAAAACAAAGATAAGGTATTGCTACCAGATTAACCACAAAATAACCGATGTTAATAAATGGAACAACGTGTAGAAATATAATGCTGCTTCATATGTGAAGCTCTGTGAAGCTGAAATCGAACTTATATGTAATCCGTGTAAGCTCATCTCTATATCACATAACAAGGACAGCATCCTATTTGGCATCTGTTATTTCTATGATTGCATATGGTGTATGCCTGCAAGTGTTCACATATATAGATAGATAGATAGATAGATAGATAGATAGATGTAGCTACCAAGCTAACTACTAGATAGAAGGATCTAGCTACCTATCTATTAGATAGATAGATACATAGATCTAGCTGGCAAGTTAGCAATTAGATCTATCTATCTATCTATCTATCTATCTATCTATCTATCTATCTATCTATCTATCTATCTATCTAATAGATAGAAGGTAGTGGAATAACGCAATGAGAAAAATCCTACGTTACGTGTTTCAAGGGAAACTTAAAGGGATTACTTCACACTAAGAATGATTTTATTGATGGAGTTATATATATATATATATATATATATATATACTAATTTTAGTTCTGACATAAAACAATTTAGTCGGAAGTTAAGAAAACATTATTGAAAGTTGGAAAAGCCTTTGTAAATGTTATCACCTTTAAGTGACTTGAAATTGCTTTCAACAAACTAGAGAACGTCTGAATTAGCGACATCCATGTTAATAAAAATGCTAAACACCACGCAATATAGTAGGGAAGAAATGCAAGAAACACCGGTTACAGTTCATCGAAGAACGTTAAATGTACAACTTTAAATTTAAATATTTAAATTTTCAGCCACCGATGTATGTAGATGCATAACCTAAGCGACCTTATTCAACTTTCTATCTCTTTTCTTTTTCTTTTAATCGCCATTGTTTTTGAATATCCCATATTTTAATAACAATAGTTTTGCTAGGAATGGAGATATGTTGAAAAAATTCAGGACGTAGAATTACCGTGGAGGCTTCCGAAATTAGCGCATATACGCCTCAATAATTTCCACTTCAATTTTCGTTTTTAATGAAAATTGCATTTTTTTTAACCGAAATTATGATTAGACCTGTTACAATGAAATACTAATGCATTGAGTGTATTTTGTACAAGATCCCTTTTATATTGGTATATTTTTTATTTAAATTCCTAATTCTTTCACTTTTCAAATTTCTTGGGACATCTTTTACGTTCATTTTTAAATTCTTGTTTCAGGTTTAATGTTGTTATTTTGTTTTGTGTTGATGGAATCTCTTATTGTTTTTGAAGGAGTTGCAACAAATTTTAAGTTTAAATAAATTATTTTCAATTGTAGTCGTTATTTATGTAAGTGGATTTATGTGCTTAATTTATATCTAAGCGACTTATTTTTTCTTTGGATTATTGAATAATAAAAAGAAAAAACTTGTATTCTATCCATTTCTTTATCAGAATGAATTAAAACTATATTATTTGAATACTAATCATAAAAAGAATATTTTTCATGATGTCATAAATAGTGTTAATTTGTCATGTTGCCGTATAAAAAGCTATAGATTTTTTTTTAAATCGTTTTAATGTACGCATTTTGTTCTGAACAACCATGTGAGCAATCTCTTTGGTCCAGTTTATCCAGTTATTCAGGGTTAGCGTAATGTTTATCGTCACTGAAAGTGAAATCGGTATGGCGAGTTCAATTTACGGTCGATTCTGTTTCGTTGATAACCTTGGAAAATAACCATAGAAAAGGTATCAATTGACCTTTCACCACCTATGAGATAAATAAATAACAGGGTGTACAAACTGGCTTTCTTGAGTTGGCAACCCGTCTAGGAGAAAGAAAACTGAACTGAAAAAAAAAAGAGCCTGAAAAGTGATGGGCTCCGTTAGACTATTTTGCCCAGGACACACCATGTCGTTATGATTGCAGTACATGTGGAGCCCTAACAACGCTAACAGGTTATAGGATTCGTGAGGTGACAAACCAGTTGCATCTGATTATAAAATTATATTTTAATTGGTAAGGAAATATAAAAAAAAAACATCCGGCGTTCATTGACCGAGTAGCCAGTACTGCTGTCGGTTGAAATTTATAAAAATCTATTTTTTTTTTAAATTAAAGGACAATAAATAAACAAAATTCAGAAATACATAAATGATGATTCATGTTGCTTTTACATTTTTTTGGAGATTGTGTCAGGGAAGCAAGAAATTGGAAAGGAGTTTTAAAGGTGAGAAGTGCAAATTAAAGAAACTGTTAAAAGAGAAAAGACAGTTGCATCTAGCTAGTTCAACAGTAAAACAGTGAGACCTAATTGCCAATCTAGTAGTATGTTTAAATTCATGCGGTCGAGACACTAAGGAAAATAGCTCATCAGAACAATTGCCCTGGAAATATTTGTAGAAAAGACAGAGGGAAGTCACATCACGTCGGTGAGAAAGTCGAGATGCCAGTTTAGGATCGATTATGTGGGAGATCATTCTTTGAATTTGTCAAGAATATCACGATATACATTAGCAGTACCAGACCAGATATGGCAAAGAATTCAATGCGCGAACAAATGGTACATTTATAAGTGTGCAAAATGAATTCTAAGAAGAAAATTCTCTGGTATTACACAATGAACCGACTTCTCTGAACCGACTTCAATACAATCATTCCACTACATGACTGTGGAAAACGTGGATTTAGCATCAGCTATGCTGGTTTCTGACAGAAAAGGTTCTCTGTGATTAAATGAAAGCAGGTTTGGAGGTGTTCACATTTTTAAGACATTACTTGCCCCAGTTAACCACTGATTGCATGCCCTTTTCGAGAGCAGATGCATATATCAGACTTGCTACCAAGAAATGAGTAAATAGTTGTATCATCTGCATAAATACCCAGTTATGAATTGATGATATCAGGAATGTCATTGATGAAGATCAGAAACAGTCTAGGTCTCATGATAGAACTTTGGGGGACTGCATTAATATGAAATGAACGAGAAGCATGTCTATTCAACACGACTTCCATTAGACGATTTGTTAGGAAAGATTGGATTAAGCCAAATATTCGTCCAGAGACACTGTTGTCCTTAGGCACGTGGAAAAGTCCAACATTTATGGACACTTCGCTTTCTCTAATGCATTAATCGTAATTCCAAATTCACTCACACGTCACTAGAATTTATTAAACGCTTTCTGGACTGTCAATTGTTCTGACCATTATTTAATATGAAAATAAAAAGTCGCTTTAACTTCTGCCATTACCAGAATGTTTAGATACAATTTAAGAGAAACCTGTACTATTAAATGTTATGCTCTTAGCTGTAATGTTATTATTTTACTTACATTGCTAAACTTCTATTGCTAAGATTTTGTAAATGTTAATTAATAATGAGGATTATTAACGAAGAAACTTTAGTGTTCGGTAAGATTAATTGTTTTTCTAATACAATTTCCAGCCATCTTGCTTATTTTAAGACATTGTTTTTTCTGACTAAAGTGAAACATAGCTACCTTAACTGGAGCAAAACATGTTTCAGACTGCTGTTATTATTATTATTATTATTATTATTATTATTATTATTTGATTTCCTTTGATTTCTGTTGTATACTTATTTCTTTCCGTACCAGAGACTTAATATCAGAAATAGCATCATGACATTTTCCACTGAGCATTAAAAAAAAAAAACAAGATCACACACACATTTTACATAAATACATACTTTTGTAAGGTGTGAGCTGTACTTGTGCGTACAATTTTTTGTATTTCTTTAAGGCTTAGGCTCCCAGTGATGGCTTCAATGAGTCTATCGGGACCTTTTTTCAATCAAACCGAGGTCTCAAACTACAACTTAAATTGTTGAGGTCTTCACGTTGTACATCTTTGAGATTTCGATTTCAAGGTCCTTGTACTTTGATATTTTTTGAAGATGTTCAAAGATACATTACAGTATGGGGTTTGTCTACATCAGCTTCATTAGTACAGGTAGAGTATTGACCATGAAGAAGCTTATCTTGCCATCGTTTCTGCATTTGTTGCATTACATTTGCTTTTGCTTTGTCGGAGTTAACTCCTCCTTAATTGTCCAAATTGTTCACTTGGGGACGCTCTCCCTACACTATAAATACTGGGAGATTTCTTGCCACGTTCTCTTTTTCATTTCTTCATTTTCAGCGAACACATCTACAATGAAAGCTCTCGCAGAAGATTGCGTCTTTCCACTTGTGGGAGACGCAATCACGCATACACGTACGTACGAACATTCATCAAAATACAAATTCTTTACGTTCACACACAAACAGAAATGTTAATATCCATGTCCATTGTAAATTTTGTTGTTTAATACATATATTTGTTGATATATATAGATATATATCGGTCTTGTTGGTTTTCTTTACACTTTTTTATGATGGATTCAATCTCTGAGTCCGCCATGTTCTTGCAGTGAACCTCTTCTAGCAGGATTAAACGCACGCGTTCTTAATTTAACAAGGCGTAAATGCACGGCCTGCTACAGATTGGTGATCTTCCAACGTGATTTATTTTTTTTAACTCCTGCAAACAGAATCACAAGACTGTATATATGTAAAAACTCACATTTACACACACTTTTCAAATGAGAGTCACCCAGGAAAGACATTGAAAAACTCCTACTACGCACACCGGACACTATTAACCCAAAAAAAAAAAAAAAAAAACATTTATAAAGTAACTAAAATTTGTGATTAGATCATAAAGTGCAAAATCACAAAATTTTAATTCACTAGAGTATGTCTATACAAAACACATTTCTCCGTCGCGGCAAATAGAATTTTTCTACAACAGGAGGGAAACCAGAGAAGCCTTAATCGCCATTACAACTACTACAACTACTGTTAGCAGACAACAATACAACGCTCCTTTCCCCCTTTCTTTCTCTCGGCAACGTTTGACCCAATTTCACCCGGCAGGCATGCTTACGGTCTTACCAAACGGAAAAGACAACGCTATTTTCAACTAATTAACATTCCCTTCTTCTTGACTGAAATAGATAAAATGTGACACATCTCAAAAGGTGACTCACTGTCCTTTATCTTCATTCTGCAACGATGCAACTCGATTACACTAAGAATTTGCGAGTACGATATTCAATCGACAATAATAGCAAATTCACTCAAACATGCATTCGACACTCGGTAGAAATTCTACATCAGCTGAAATTTTCCACAACGCTGCTTCTATTAAATTTTGTACGCCAACTTTATCCACGCATAGCAAACAAACAAGCTCTTTTTCAAACAGAACTACGATCGGGAAACAATACGACGGGACGACAAAGCCAATTCAACGTGTAGCATTGGAAAAAGACAAATTTTAATAGCAAACGCTGAACACTACCGACGTTTCTTCCAGGGCGTGTTCCGACTCTGACCCGCAAGAGAAAAATAAGATGACAGCACAAGTACATTTCGTTGGACCACACATCTCAACCACAGTTCTGACACCTTTTCTTTTCAGTTCACAAGGACAATATTCAAAACTTCCATGAACTTTTTATATATCCAGAAAATATTTCCTGTCTATCTGAAGAGGGTATTCTCGGTGTTAACTCCTCCTTAATTCTCCAAATTGTTCACTAGGGGACGCTCTCCCTACACTATAAATACTTGGCGATTTCTTTCCTCGTTCTCTTTTTCATTTCTTCATCTTCAGCGAACACATCTAGAATGTAAGCTCTCGCAGAAGATTGCGTTTTCCCATTTGTGGGAGACGCCATGAACATTATGCACACATACACGTACGTACGAACATTCACCAAAATACAAATTCTTTACGTTCACACACAAACACAAATGTTAATGTCTATGTCCATTGTAAAGTTTGTTGTTTAATAGATACATACACACACATTCTTGGGCGACTTGAAATTCACTTTTGAATTTATTATTATTATTATTATTAGTAGTAGTAGTAGTAGTAGCACTAGTAGTTCCATCTTTCAAAATTAGAAATAAAAACTCTTAAAGCTCAATCACGATGTTCCCCGACCTCCCTAGCTCTTAAACAGAGATGCACAATGTGTGTGTCATCCCCTAAGGAACATGTTCAGCTGGTAACTGACAAGTGAATATTTCGTACTAAACAAGATATGTACAGCAGTTAATTACCCAAGACAAAACACATACCTGTTAACACCTCCAATTGATTAAAATCGGAAGCTGCATTTATTATTATTATTATTATTATTATTATTATTATTATTATTATTATTATTATTACTGTTATTATTATTGTTTAATATATTTTGTTGAAAGTGTATATTTGATTATTTATTAGCGGATATACATATTGTTATATATATATTGAACGCGAGAGCCCTTCAATAAAATGATTTTTCTTATTTTTTATTTTGTTTAATAATTCCATAATGTCGGATAATATTGAAGCATCCACTCTTGATTTGTGTTCTTGTACTTAAGAAGTTGTTTTGATAACGTTAAAGACATATTTTTGTCTGTCGGCATGTAAGATCAAAGATAAATCATTGACTTTGATCTTGCTAATATTCAATCGCTTTCTTTATCTTTCCTAATCGCACACTTGCATATATCATTATTATTTGTATTTGTTATCACTGTTTTTCTATTATTATTATTATTAGTAGTAGTAGTAGTAGTGGTGGTGATGGTGATGATGATGGTGGTGGTGGTAGTAGTAGTAGTAGTAGTAAGAAAATCTATTTAAAAATAAGTTAAAATGGCTACCGGTCATCAATGAACAACTGAAGCTAACAATAAAATGTGCTGTAATTTTCATTCATTCATTCATTCTTTCTTTCTTTTTTACTTCCTTCCTTCCTTCCTTCCTTCCTTCCTTTCTTTCTTTCTTTCTTTTTCTTTCTTCGTTTCTTTTTTCTTTCTTTCTTCGTTTCTTTTTTCTTTCTTTCTTCTTTTTAGAAGCTAACAATAAAGTGTGCTGTACTTTTCTTTCTTTCTTTTTTGCCTTTCTTTCTTTCTTAGATGTTCAAAAAAAGATGTACACAAAAAAGAATGGATAGAAAGAAAAAAATACGTACAAAAAAAGAAAATAGAATAATCAGGGCAGTTCAGCTTCTATTTACCAATATAGTATAGAGCTTATTAATTCATGAAGCACCCTTTCATTATGATATTATTATTAGTAATAGTTGTAGTATTAGTATTACTTCTAGTAGTAATAGTTATTGTTGGCGTTGTAATATTGAACATATGTGTATGGTATAGTAATAATGCAAGAACAAGCACACACTCACACATATAGTTTTGTACAACTATGAGTTTCATGCAGGAGGTAATCGTTGGGCGCGGATTGAAAGCTGGTCATATGTATTTATTATTGGTATACATTTTATTTACAACGAGCAATGTTTTACTAACACCAACATTCATTTTGCGCTACTTTACACACACACATACAGACACACACATACATCTCCTGCAGCTTTTCTGGATGGTCTCCTTGTTTAAATTCTTTCTTTCAGTTCATCTTTGGTGTTACAAGGAATTTTGTTGGTCTCTCGTTCAACTGCGAACCACACATAATAATCAATGAGGTTGTAGTCTGGGCAGTTAGGTGATTAGATGTAAGGGGTGATGTGGTCGCAGAAATGGTCTAACAACCTCACTAGGTTCTCATGCTTGTGTGGCATGGTGCAGAGTCCTGTTGCCAGACAGGATCCTCCGGAAGCCATCCTCTTGACCCAGGACAGCATTACCTCCCAAGTTGAGTTTGAGGACCTCACCTAAACATTCGGGAGTTCTTTTCTTATCAGAACGATCAGAGTGAGTTTTCTGAGCCTACGTACCATCGTAATCACCATTAGACTCATCCAACTCTTTCCAAATCCTCTGCACTGTTCTCAGATTGACACCAAAATACTCTGATATGTTCGTATTGGAAGAAATATAAAAATTTAAATACATTCTTAGGTTTCGTCGTTTGGGCAATGATTCGTAAGCTGATTTCACAGTCTATTAATATTGTAAAGGGTACGATTTCCACTGGATAACCTATATTTCCACAACTGTTTTGAATTAAGCTTAGAACGTTTTAATACTTTATAATACAATATTAGTGCCTATACAAAAAGTCAAGTTGCTTTGCAGCATTTCTTGTATTGATTGTTTTAACGTTTTATAAAGTAATACAATTTAATAAATTCAATGCTGAACTACCATGTAATATTTAATCTCTTATATTGCCCTGAATGTTGGATAATTCCCCTCTCCTAAACATGCATGAGACAGGGATGTGAGGTTCTATTGATGAATGTCGAGAATACCATAGACAGAACATATGCGTAACGAGGAAGCGTTAAGGAGCTACAAGGAAAAAAAGTGAAATATCTGAAACACATAATGGGTAAAAACGGCCTAGAGAATTTGATACTCACAGGGAGTACTAAACGCAAGAGAAGCAGAAGAAACAGAATCTAATTAACGAGTTTGATTAAATGTTCAAAACAGAAACAAATAGGGATGATAAAAAAACAGAAGTTGTGGAGAGACATGATCGCTACCTACTGAAAGGAAATAACACATAAAAGAAGAATTTAAAAAAATTAAAACCAATCGAAACGCCTCCTTAAAATTTGAATATCTACGAAATTCATTACAACGTACGTAGAGGTGCTGAAAAATTCTCAACATGGAGAAGAAACGCTTCCAAAATTTTAATGTTTGAACATTTGGCCAGATTTTGTTATATGGGTCAGGTGAAGAAATTTTCAGCGCCCCTTCGCAGTAAGATAATTAAATCTATTTCAGGTTGTTTTCATTCCACTTTTTTTTTTGTCTGTGTACCTATCTATTGTAGTGTCATTTTACCATACATGCACGTGTGTGTGTGTGAATAAAGACAAAAGGAACATTTACCTTTGCCATGATAAAATCCCACAGAGGGCGAAAAGCGTCGGCTAAGATAAGTTTTTCTGTCTTTTATATTGCCCTTTTACAGATATACTTTATCTAAAATGTTTACACACACACACACACACATATATATATATATATACATGGTATGATTTAATTGAAAACGGTTTGTCAGTGTACCTGTCAACATTGTAAAACACCATCATAACACAGTGATTACATATAAGTCTTTATTCACCCACCCACTCGAACAGAATAGTGCACAGCTCAGTGATGATTAAGGTGAGAATCACAGGGAGTAGATGGGATTGGTAACAAAAAGAATTTTCCTTTTCAGTATTTCACTTTTGAGACACCCCAGACTTTCTTCTTTTTAGTGAAATGGGAGGTGGTGCCTCGGGGACGCCCCTCCTACCCACATACTTTAAGTCAAATTGTACTTCCGACCATAAATAGCAAGAGCATCGAACCATATGTGGCAACAATATTCTAAGCATGGACGAAAGGTAGACTTATAGATATATATAGATTGTGGAGAGAAAAATTGCCTAACCCCACAAATCTTAATTGTATTTATCTGTGTAAATATTTATTTATAGGAAAATAAAACCTGCTTTTCCAGGTTTGCAAGCGGTTAACAGTATCATGAGTTAAAATCATATTAGCTTGAAAATTTCGGCTTCTTTTTGACCACGTTCTCAAAAAAGGCAAAAACCATTTTAGAAAAATCAGGAGTTTTGACAAATTTTATTCTATTGCTTTGAATTTTAATTCTGAAATATAAATATTGTTTTTTTTTTTTTATCGGTAATTGATTACAATTTCACTTTCAATAACATTTGATGCAGTCTTTATAAATAAACAGATAAATTAATAACGCATTAATTAAATTTAATGTAATTCACGAGAGCAATGGTTCTCAAATGGTGCGTCTGGGCGCATTGTTGCGCCCTGGAAGATGTCTACGTGCGCCCTGGCATTGCAGTGAAATATGTCTCCAGATATAAGAAATAAATATTTTTACTTTATTATATTGATGTGCCCATCTCGTTCTTATTTATGTGAATTAGGCTTTTCTGCTCTCATCACAATTAAGTGCAAAAAGAGAGGAACTGTTCAATGTATTGACGAGAAAAAGAGAGTTTTCCTATCAAATATACGTCCAAACATTAAAGAAATCGCTAAGACTCATCAGGCTCATGTTTCTCAAAAACAAGAATGAATAAATTTAAGGTATGTTTCCTTTTATATATTTTCTATTGCATTATTTCTTTTCTGCAATATTTGAATTCATTATAAGATATTTTTCTGAAATTTGTATATAGTACGCCTACAATTATTGGTCGGATTTCAAGCGCTCCCTGACTTCAAAAATATTGAGAACCACTGAACTACAGTAAAGAGAATCCTACCACATTTAATTTATACGTAAGTGTAATTGCAGTTTAGACTCGTACAACAGAAACTAGTTTTCATTTAAAACGGTTTTATATCATTTATATTTGAGAGAAGAAGTATTCTTCCTTTTCTGTTTGTGAATTCAAATATAAATGTTTACGAGTCAAGTTACGAGCGACCAGAAGACTGGTTTAGGGACTCATAAAACAGCCACAAACCTCTTCATTAATAAATAAACCCACAAACAATAAAACTGAGGACTTTGCGATTAGAACATATTAAAATATCGTAATTTCATAAAACGGTCATCTTTTGAAATTTGTAATTTTCTAAATGTATATTAAAAGCAGCTTTTGGGAAAACCTAATGTCTGCTCTTGACAATCTGGTTTCTTAGAAAGACGCTTACAACAAAGGATTTAATTATAATAACAAACTATAAAAATTGGACAAGTTTCAAATGAAATACAAAGCCTGAGAAACAAGTATGAATTGTATTATTGCGCTTATGGATGTAACTATGATGATGTCATTTGAACTTACCAGTGAACTTACATTCCCACACACAAAAAATAACAAATGGGAATGAATGACGGAGCATATGCCTGCCTATATGACCTGGCAAGATCGGTAATGACATAGCAAAATTAGATCAATGTCTTCAAATAAAAAGCAATAATTAAATAAAAAAGGAGATAGACATTATTATTATTATTATTATTCAATGATAGTTTTCACACAAGCAGTATTTCTTTGCTTTCAGTGAAAGCAAAGCTGCTCAATACTCCAGCACCTTCCTCAGTATTGTTCGTTTGTTTCAGTCATTTTGTTGTCTGGGTGGTTTTGGTTCTTCTTCCCATTGCCAATAATTCTAATCTTTTTGTAAAACTTTTTTTCGGAAACTCCCAAGCCTTCTTATAACGGCTGGTATAACTTTCACTTTCGTATACCAAGAAAGAGAAAAGTGAAACACACGAGTAAAAACGGCCTAGAGAATTTAACACTCACAGGGAATACTAAACGCAAGAGAAGCAAAAGAAACCGAATCTAATTAACGAGTTTAAGGTTTTTCATTTTACTGACAGGATCCAAATATTTCCACAACATTTCTTTTCCTTCTGACATTTGCTTGAAAATGACATTTATTGACTGAACTTTTTGTTTACAAGGATTTCAGCTGCTCAATCTCAGCACAGGTATCATTTATCAAATCCGTCTCTTTTGTCTGTATTGCCTGAATATAGCACTTGTTCTGCTATTAATGGCAATTCCGTTTCTCACTTCAAGCAGCCTCTGCGCGACCATCTCATGACAGTACAAAATTATTATTTTTTATATTTTTAGGCCACAATGTTTTTCTATAGTCATCATTGGTGATAGTGACAACACATATCCCCAAATCGTCAGCACCTTCCTTAGTATTCTCAACTCCAGCAGTTGAATCTAAATTGTATCATCTATACTTCAGCTCTCTAGCGAGGTCATATATATATATATATATATATATATATATATAGTGACTGGGAGGGATAATAAAGTGACAAACATTATATAAAGCTACAAATGATAGGAAGTCGTGGAGAGCTATGATTTTACACGTCTTGAAAAATGCAACATTATCAAATATCCGTCCCATACGAACAACTGTTAATTACTA